AACTCTTTTCTCCTCCACAGATGCTGCCAGACATGCTGAGCTTTTCCTGCAACTTTGTTTTTGTTCCTGATTTATAGCATCCGCAGTCCTTTTGGTTTTTATTTAGTGATGGATGTTCCACTTGAAACCGCTTCAGCCTTATCTTTTGCACTGATATGTTGGGCTCCCCCATTACCGAGGATAGGGATGGGAATGTTCATGGAGCCTCCTCCTCCGCTGAGTTAAATAAACGTCCATCACCATTCACAACTGAATTTGGCCGGACTATAGAACTTAGTTCTGATCCATTGGTTGTGAAATTACTTAGTCCTGTCTATTCCACTTGCTACTTACGCTGTTTGATAGACAGTAGTCCTGTGCTGTAGCTTCATCAAGTTGGCATCTCATTTAGGTATGCCTGGTACTGCACCTGGCATGCCTTCCTGCACTCTTCATCCAATTTAATTCGCTGCAGCAAATTCCACTATACATTTTGATATAACCGTGAGACTTACTCATACATTTCCCATCGTTACCTTCATTCTTATCTCACATTTTCAATGTGTACTTGTGTCATATTTTTAATATCTTTTCTTATGTTTAGTAACTTACAAACATATTCCTTAAGTCAAAGCCTGACTAACTTAGCTCCTTTCAAACATTTGGACTGGGAAAAGGAATCCATATAGGAAGGCACCCTTTCTAAATTAACCTTGTTGTAACCAACTGAGAGAGGTTGAATTGAGGAGAGGGAATTCATCCCTTCTCAGCTGGAAGCATAACCATTTGGGGATACCCCGTCTGGAATCAATTAGTTGGGGCCCATCACTCAGGACTGTAACAATCTGTAACTTGTACACAATGCCAACTATTAAATTGACCCTATTACTGGGAGTAAAAGCCTACCCTCCCAGTAAAAGAAGGTGGCAGAGTTGTAAGAAAATTGACCATCCTTACCCAGTCTGGGTCATTTGTAACTCCAGACCCATGGCAATGTGGTAAGCAAAAATGGGTAAAACAAGCCCCTTAGTTCAATAATAATTAGGGATGGGCAGTAAATACTGACCTTGCCACTATTCCCACATCCCATGATGAGGGAACAAAATGTAACATCTCCAAGTTTGCAGATGATACCAGAGCTGGGTAGGAGGGTGAACTGTGATGCACAGAGATCTGGGTGTTCAGGTCCATTGTACCCTGAAGGTGGCAACGCAGGTCGATAGAGTGGTCAAGAAGGCATACGGCATGCTTTCATTCATCGGACGGGGCATTGAGTACAAGAGTTGGCAGGTCATGTTACAGTTGTATAGGACTTTGGTTCGACCACATTTGGAATACTGCGTACAGTTCTGGTCGTCACATTACCAAAAGGATGTGGATGCTTTGGAGAGGGTGCAGAGGAGGTTCACCAGGATGTTGCCTGCTATGGAGGGCACTAGCTATGAAGAGAGGTTGAGTAGATTAGGATTATTTACATTAGAAAGACGGAGGTTGAGGGGGGACCTGATTAAGGTCTACAAAATCATGAGAGGTATAGACAGGGTGGATAGCAAGAAGCTTTTTCCCCCAGAGTGGGGGACTCAATTACTAGGGGTCACGATTTCAAGGTAAGAGGGGAAAAGTTTAAGGGAGATATGCGTGGAAAGTGGGTGCCTGGAATGCGTTGCCAGCAGAGGTGGTAGAGGCGGGCACGATAGCGTCATTTAAGATGTATCTAGACAGAAACATGAATGGGCAGGGAGCAGAGGGATACAGATCCTTGGAAAATAGGCGACAGGTTTAGATAGAGGATCTGGATCGGAGCAGGCTTGGAGGGCCGAAGGGTCTGTTCTTGTGCTGTAATTTTCTTTGTTCTTTGAGGATGCAGAGATCCTTCAGCATGATCTGGACAGGTTAGGTGAGTTAGCAAATCAATGGCAGATGCAGTATAATTTGGATAAATGTGAGGTTATTCACTTCAGAAGCAAAAACAAGAAAGCAGATTACTAGCTGAATAGCTAAGAATTGCGAAAGGAAGAGTGTGCTGCAGGACCTGGGCGTCCTTGTGCACCAGTTGCTCAAGGTAAGCGTGCAGATGCAGCAAGCGATAAAGAAGGCAAATGGTACGTTGGCCTTCATTGCAAGAGGTTTTGAGTACAGGAGCAGTTGTTGCAGTTATACAGGGCCTTGGTGAGACCACACCTGGAATATTGTGCGCAGTTTTGGTCTCCTTTTCTGAGGTGGGATGCTGTTGCCCCTGAGGGAGTGTAGCAAAGGTTTACCAGGCTGATTCAGGGGATGGCAGGACTGACGTATGAGGAGGCATTGACTAAGTTGGGATTGTTTTCACTGGAGTTCAGACAATGAGGGGGGCATCTCAATAGAGACTTATAAAATTCTAACAGGACTGGACATGATAAATGCAGGGAGGATGTTCCCAATGGTGGGTGTGTCCAGAACCAGGGGTCACAGTGTGAGGTTTCAGGGTAGACGATTTAGGACGGAGATAAGGAGACATTCCTTCACCCAAAGAGTGGTGAGCCTATGGAATTCATTACCACAGAAAGTATTCAAGGGGCAATTAGATATAGCACTTGGGGCAAATAGGATCAAAAGTTATGGGGAGAAAGCAGGATCAGGCTATTGACTTAGATGATCAGCCATGATCGTGAAGAATGGCAGAGCAGGCTCGAAGTGCCTAATGGCCTCCTCCTGCTCCTATCTTCTGTTTCTATAAAGAAACTTCAGGGGAAATAGTAGCCTAGTGGTCATGTCAATGGACCAGGACCTCAAATGCCCTAGATGATTTGTTTAGGGGAAATTGGTTCAAATTCCACCACAGTAGTTACTACAAATGTAAATTCATGTCAAAACAATCTTTTTGACATGCTCAAACTAACACAGTCTGAAATTAAGGAGAACCAATAGTCTAATAGCATTATCAATAATCTATTAAGAGCTGGATAACGTTCTGGTGACCTGCCAAGGTAGATGGTGGAATCTGGAATTAACCAGTCAAAAGTCAGTCAGAAAAAAGCCCCATCTGGTTCAGTATTGTTTTTCAGAGAAGGAAATCTGCCATCCTTACCTGGTCTGGTCTACATGTAGTCAACTCTTAACTAACCTGCGGCCAATAAACTCTGGCCTGGCATGCGACGCCCACATTCCTTGAAGAATATAACTGAAAGCTAGTTATTGGATTTATTTTACAACACGGAGAGGCCCTGCGGCTATTCGTATCCGCACCGCTCATCAAACATCCCTTTTCCAGAATTTAGCCCCTAGTCTCAGTGATAAAGTCATCATTGTCGGTTGTTAAAACCCATCTGGTTCACACCTGTCCTTTAGGGAATGACATCTGCCGTCTTGCCCTACGTATCTTTACGAAAAGGCCTTCTATTATCCATCCAGTGGGACTAGGACAGGCTCAGGCCCGAAGGGCAGAACGGCCTACCCCGACCCTCAATCGTTCGTTTTACCTCAGACGTACACTCCGAATAGCTCTTACCCCTAGCAGCCTGCCGCGTCGAGCCCGGACTAGGCCGCAGGATCCTCGGCATTGATTTTCTCAGGCCTCCCGGGCCCCGACCCTTTCAAACCAGGGCCCCGCCTCCCCGGACTGCGCCGCCATTGGTTCCCGGTGTTGGGTAAAGGGCACGTGATCCTCTCCATCCGGGTACCGCGGATCACCTTCCCGCCTCTCCCCAAGTCCGGGTAACTGGCGTCGTCTCCGACATCCGGGAACCCGGGACGGGGGAAATGAGCGTGATGACGTTGTCGCAACAAAAACGGCGGGGAGCTAGTCGTGCGTCCTCCACTAGCAGCAGCCGCAATGGCTGACTAGAGCGATAAGCGGCGGCCAGATCGATAGAAATGGAGGTGGTGGATAGCGACACGAATCAATGGCTGGTGGACGAACAGGAGGAAGCCACCAGGCCCTCGACGTCGCGCAACATCGCCGGGTGAGCGTCTATCTTGGCACCCTGGGATTTGTAGTCCCATCCATCAGCCGTTTCTTTCCTTCGTCATTCCTGTGGCGCACGGACCACGGGTAGTTCAACCGCCGCGGGAAAGGAACGGTATTTGAAAAGGTTCTCGGGTTTACAAGCTGCCCACCTTTCTCCTCTGGAGACAGCAGGTTGGCCGCAACCGCTCCAAGTCACGCCGGGAAATATAGTCCTTCGCCAGGTACCTCCGCTGGTGGTTGCTGGCGCGGAAACTACAACTTCCAGTGGGCCCCGCGCAGCCACCGCTCATGTTGCCCCTAACAACCCCATGATGCCAAAAGAGGAAGGTTGTGCTGGAGCACCGCAGTAAATGAGAGAGCGCAGTAGACACTGGTCCATCCAATATCACACACAGCACCTCACCTTTTTATTAGGCTTTTTACAGCCTTCCAGACTAAACCTTGAGTTAATCAATTTCACAGCTTACACTCTGTTCACTCCATTTGGTTTTCTTTGGGTGTTATGTTTCACGAAATTCTGACACATAGTCGTAGAATCCCTACAGTGCAGATAGAGGCCATTTGGCCCATCACATCTGTGCTGACCCTCTGGACAGCATTCCACTGGGGGCCCCCCTATCCCCATAACCACACATTTCCCATGGCAAATCCACCTTACCTGCACATCCCCAAACACCATCGGGCAATTTAGCATAACCAATCCACCTAACTTGCACGTGCGGACTGTGGGAGGAAACATAGGGAGAATGTCAGTGTGGTGTTTGTACAATCATCCAAGGCTGGAATCAGAACTTCAGTGTTGCCGAAAAAGAAAATACACATTGTCAAAGCTTTTCATCTTGTAATCATCAGGACATTGGCAAGGGACAAGATTTTTACTGGACTTGTACAGTATAATAATAATTGGCAGTAGTATACAGTTTTTACAGCACAGAAAAGAGGGTGGGTATCTGAAACTCACTGCTTAAAGGGGTGGTAGACGTAAGGACCCTCAAGACATTTAAGAACTATATAGATGAACATTTGAAAAGCATTAGAAAAGAAGGCTGTGGGCCAATTGCTGGAGGATGGGACTAAAATAGAAAGATGCTTGATGACCGGCACAGACACACTGTGCCGAAGGGCCTTTTTTAGGTTCAGTAGAGATTTTACGCCTCAATGAGGCCTTTGGCCATCGTGACTATGTCATTGAAGATCCATCTATTCTAATGCCTGACCTCTCATTCCTGTCTACATCCCTCTTCATAACTCATACCCACATGTTTTTTATGTAATCTGAAATCTTGGGTATATAACATTCACTTTCCTCATCTAAGTCATTCAAATATATTGTCAGTAGTTGTGACACCAGCGCTGATCCCTGTGGCATACCACTGGTTATAGATTGCCATCCTGAAAATGCTCTCTTTATCCCAACTCTCTCTTCTATTAATTAGATAATCCTCTGTCAATGCTAAATACAATTTCCAACACCATGGGCTCTTAGTAAGTAGCCGAACATATGGTACCTATCAAATGACTTCTGAACATCTAAATCTATTATATCTATTGCTTCCCCTTTATTTATCCTGCTTGTTACCTGTTCAAAGAATTCTAATACATTTGTCAGCCATGGCTTCACCCTCATGAAACCATGTTGACTCTGTTTTATCATTATGTATTTCTGAATGTTCTACCATTACATCCTTTTACAATAGACTAATATTTTCAATTGACAGATGATTGTATTCTTTTTGTAAATAAAGGTGCTATATTTCCAGTCCTCTGGGACTTTTCCAGGTTCAAAGCATTCTTGGAAGATTACAACTGGTGCACCACTGTCTCTGTAGCTACGTTTAATATCCTTGTGTAATAACTCAGGAAGCCCAACTGGAGAGGAACATCATTTATTGTTGAATACCAAATAGAGTCACTACTCCTGGCGTGCATAGACTCGTCCCAGCCTGGGACAGATAGTTCTAATATTGGATATTTTCTAATCAACCTATTCAGAAATGTTATGCCACACAACTGGAGAAAGTGAGATTTGAATCCAGGCCTCCTGGTTCAGAGTCAGCAACACCACCACTGTGGCACAAGAGTCCCACCGGTTCTGCTTTTTTTTTTAATACATCTGGAACTGTTATCACACACAACCGAATGACTTTCCTACCATCAAATCATTATGACTTTTTTTTTGCCTTTAACAGTGAACATTGGGTCTGCTTTACTTTTTTATATCCAGAAGTGCTTTTAAACAGAACCAAATAGTTTCCCCACCGTGAAATCGCCTTGACTTTCTTTATTTTTAATGATTAACTGCCACGAGTAAATCACCTGTGTAACCAATTAGACCTTTACATGCAAAGCCCATTACAGGTGAAACACGGTCTGCTTTTTATTAAATCAACCTGTTCAGAAATGTTACGATACACTTCTGGAGCAGATGAGACATGAACCCAGCCTTTCTGGCTCAGAGGTAGAGACGCTTCCGCTGCACTAAAAGACCCCCTGCACCTGCCTTTTTTTTTGGCCGCCTTGTATTATTTTCTTTTTTATATTGGTGGATATTATCACACATAACCAAAATGGCTTACCCATCACCAAATCACGGTGACTTTCTTTTTCTTTTTAACTATTAACTGTCACCAGTAAATCACAGGTATAAGCTATTAGAAATAAGCATGCAAAGCACATTATGATTAGGTTCATACTCGGGTGTCCTTGGAGAAGGAGCATGCAATGTCCACCTATGTTTTAGATAGGGGTAGGCACCTCAGCGGGGAAACAGTGCCTTATTTCCCCGTCCATTTTGACTTCAGTCCCTTCCTGCTTTGCCTAAACACCCACCTTTTGATGGTTCGCATTGCCCATAATTGGCTTTGCTTGTAAACACTCAATTTGTTACACTGGTGTTTTTACTGGTGGTGGTAAGTAGATTAAAAAAAACAAGCAAAGCTCATTACAGGAATTGGGTGTACTTTTTAACCTCCTTTTTCCTAATCAACCTGCTCAGAGATGTTATTATTAAATACCTTTGGAGTAGGTGGGACTTGAACCTAGGCCTTTTAGGTCAGGGGTAGGAACACTACCACTGCACCACAACAGCACCTGAGTCTACTTTGTCTTATCATCTCATACATCTGCCCTCTCATTAGAGAGAGACGACAGGTGTTAGTTTAACTTGAAGGTCATCACACTTCAGACAAGGGGAGAGATTGAGAAGGAGAGTCCTTCATGGTAACGTCACTATTGGTATTGCTCTGCATCACGAACCAGCCATCCAGCCAACTGAGCTAAACCAACCCCTACTGGGTCTATGCTGTAAAGGACTCAGGTGATGAGTGCCAACTGGGCAGGCCCTTGCCAGTTACCAAGGGAACTTGTACTCAATGAGCTCCACAGGGAAATTAATTACTGGATCTCCTTGGGCCTCACATCCCCCTCTGAGTCTGAGAGTTCCCTCTCACTCCTGAGGTGAGGGGACCTCCTACATCTTTTCACACGTGACCCCATTCCTGTTGCTTTACTCGTCTTTTTGAGGGTGTATAAGAGGTGGGTGAACATCTCTTCCATAAACACTGAAGTGTCACTGAGGAAGGGGCTCATCAGTTGAAAAAAATCACCTCTGTGGAGGGTATCCATCACTCATGGTGAACCTATTCTTTTGGAGATCCTCTTTCCAGTTTTGACCATGTGCGATATGAGTTTGATTTTTTTTTAAGGATAACTGGAGACCCATCATCAAAGCTCCTTACCATATCTTCCCCCCATCTCCTCCCAAGTAATTTGAGATCTAGGAAAAACTTTGACTCTGTGTTTCTTGAAACCAGAGCTTTTTATGGTTTTCGCCTTCTCTTCGATGAAGTATAATCAAGTCTTGTTGACTCTGTACCTGAGGTACGTTTGCTCTTTTACCTAGAGCACACATTTTTCCCTTGTTAGTCAGATACCAGCCTCAGAAAAACACAGTAAGACCTCTTCCAAACTCTCCACATGTTCCTTTGCAGTAGCCCCTGAGATGAAAACATCATCCAAGTGCCACTCTCGGCACCCCTTGGAGGATGTTCTCCATTACCCTTTGAAAGATGGTGGAAGCCAAAGATACCCCAAAGAGCAAGCGAGTGTACTCATACAGTCCTTTGTGAGTATTTACAGTAACATGCTCCCTAGGTGACCCCTCAAGGTCCAGTTGGAGGTAAGCATAGCTCACATTCAGTTTAGAAAATATGTGATCCCCACATAAACAGATCGAATTGTGAGGTTTTACCACTGGGACTACTGGCGCAGCCCATTCAGCAAATTGGACTGGGTGAATTATATCACGTTCCTCTCGTCAGTCTAATTCAACTTTTACTTTCGTATGTAGAGCAAAGGGGACTGGTTATGCCTTGAAGTATTCAGGTAGGCCCTCTGGGTCTACATAGATCTTGGCTCTGGTGCCTTTTAATTTTCACAAGGCCCTCTTCAAACACTTCGGGATACTTCCTAATGACTTTGTATAGATCATTGGTACTCATTTTAAAAATCTGTTGCCAATCCAGGCAGATTTTCTGTCGCAAGTCCCTTCCCAAAAGATTGGGACTTGTCCCTTGCACTACCATTAAAGGGAGTCAGACTATCTGCTGCCCTGCCATAGCTGAGGTTATAATGGTTCCAATATTCAATTACAATTGAATTCAATTACATTCAAGGTGGCGTCAGAGTAGGGTTCCTGAGCTGGAGCTCGTCTGCTCCAACTGTTTTTCTTATTCTTTCTCTTTTCTTGTTTTTTATCTCTCTATACCTTTGCTTACCTTTTGTCCAGAGCTCAGGCATCATTGGCGGCGTGAGAGCATGGATCTCAAGTGAGCCAGGTATGGGCCTCGAGTGAGCTCTTGCTTTTCTGCGGCAAGCACAGGACCTGGCATTGGAATTGGCGACTGCTACATCAGCAGAGGTGAAGTCAGCGAGGTAGACCCAGTGGCAAAAGATAGTGCCTGAGAATCAGCGACTTCGTCTTTGTTTGGGTCCAGG